CAGCAAGTGCAGCAAGAACAGCTCCGCCAGCAGCAAGTGCAGCAAGAGCAGCTCCGCCAGCAGCAAGTGCAGCAAGAACAGCTCCGCCAACAGCAATTTCAGCAGCAGCTGCATCTTCAGCAGGGTATGCAGATGCAGCAAATGCAATTGCAACAGGTGGGATACTGAGTGTCGTAGGTTGCAGGATTGACTAGATACTTGGCACCTGGGTTCTTCGTATCTACATGGTGATTGACTCTTGGGTTAGAAACCCAAAACCCTAAACTGGCTCAGTTTGTCTTGCGCTGATGGACGGCTCCGGCTCCGGGGGGGTCTCAGGGAACGGCCTTCCGTCCAACGGCTCGGTGGAGGGTAGTTGCTCTCCTTGAGGTGGGGGAGCCCCCTCCCCGCAACGGACTTAAAGGGACGAGAAAAAGGTGCTAAAGATTGTTTGAGCATTTGATGAGTATTTGGGAGGGTGGTTTCTTTCTTTTTTCTGGAATGGAGATGAAAAGATATTAGTATTGGACAGAGAAAGGAATGCCTGGAGTCAGTACTGAATTGGATTGAGTGAAACATATAAATAATGCCAAATGATATGTAGAATCCGGGAAGCATCCTTTGCTTTGCTTAGAGTGAAAGTAGCGCGCATTATATGGGGTACCTTTGCAGATTTTGGCAATTGTTATAGTAGCCTTTGGATAATAGATGAACCAATCAAGGATTTACCACCAAGTCACTGCTGTCCAACCCAAAAACTACGAATTAATGAATTGGAAAAGCACCAGACTCCATGGACACCGAGTGAAATGGCAAATCAATGAAATCCCAATGAGAAATCCATGAAGGCACTAAGAAAAAGCGATTCACCCCCCCCAAAAGCCTACAGTAGATGTTCTCCAGTTTGCACGTTCTTGTGTTGAAATCAAGCAGTAAAGGCACTCTGAGTGTGGTCGGAACATATGGTGCAAGAACCTAGGTTTGCCGGTAAAGTGGACCTGGCCTTGCGCTGGGATGATGCTATTCAGTGTAACGCTTAGTAAAAAACAATCTTTTTTGAGCAGCCAGCTCCTGGTTCACCATCATCATCAAAATCCAAGGATCTTTGGATCTACCCAAGCGTCAAATAGCCATCCGAGATGATCCGAGCATCCCCATTTGCTTCGCTCGCCCCCATGCTCCAGGTGCCAGTGCTGATTGCAGTGCCATGCATGGCTGTGCAACCTATGCAATCGATGCAGCAGATCCAGCCAATGCAGACACTGACACAGCAGCTCGGATGAAGCATTGGAGAGTTCCAATTTTACCCGAAACATGCACCAGAAGAACAAAAAACACTTGCTCGACAAGAACAAGGACTCTTTGCAATTCAGACTGCAAAGCAACTGAAGTTTGATGTGGGAAGAACAACATGTTTTTGAGTTTCACGCGACGTGTGCTTTATCATGATAAGTGGAGCATGTCTCAAAATGGGGTAGTCCTACCGAACAAAGAAAATTCCGCACTACTAGGCGTGTGAAACCGTGTGTTGAAGGATGTTCAAGGAGTTTCTTCTATTCCGGGCAATGTGAGGCAGACCGAAGAGAAGGAAGAAAGCCAAGAGGTGACTTGGCAGCCGAGCGCTTGAGGGTTGCACATCCGATTGGGGAACTCTGAACTCCCTGTTTGCTCTTTGTGTAGTGCAGTGGATGTAGTGACTGTAGTGGATTGAGTTTCCCGAATGGGTATTGTCTATAGTGGTGCAGGAAGTTTTTAGAGGTCGAGGGTCAAACAAAAGATCGCCGGTTTTGCTCATGGAACCAGTTGCCTCATTGCATGGACAGCATCACCTTAATGAGCCATGTAATGGTTGCTGGTTGCTGAGGTTGTGCTGCCTGGAGGCCCCATTGGGTGGCGAACAGAGGACCGTCTTTGACGGTGGACCTGGAAAAAAAGGAATCAATTAATGAAGCACGCTGAAAAAAGGACCCGCACACGGTGCATTTAGAAAAAGGGTGGACCACAGTAGTTGTTTGTAGGTGTAAATGTGCCCAAGGTGACAGGCTTTGAGCAGGATTTGATTAGCTTGCCCCTTTCTTTAGAAGGTTTTGTTGACTTGGTGTTGCAGTTTGAAGACCACCATCTCCTGTCGAAGTGCACGAAGGTCGCGTTCGTGTCTATTGAGGAACATGGCGTTCGTACGAAGAGTAGTAGTTTGATGTAGTTTGCCTTTGTGCGTTCAAAAATATGTTGGGGAGCATGCAGCATATATATATATATATCAGGCAACATAAATCAGATACAGCGCGCAGCATTCTGCATTCAGTTTGCTGCCAGTTGCTTTAAATGTTTGATGGCTAAAGAACCCCAGCTTGAAGCCACCATTAGCCGTCAGTCATTTTGCGAATCGTATTCTGCAACAAATCGCTTAGCTTTATCGCATTTTAGCGCACTCAATTGTTGGAGCTTCCAGCGTAGCAGACACAAAAAACAGAACATGTTGGTTCCTGGGGCCAAGCTCATATTCGCAGAAGGTCGTTTTTGTTCTAAAAGAATATTATTTCACCCTGGTTAATCAATATATATATATATATTTTTTTTTTTCATAGAGGTTCTTTAGCAGTCATTTCTTGAATGTTATCCGGGTAGAGACTCAGAAGTCAGCTTCTGATAATTAATGGTTTTTTCAAGGCCCATCACCAGCGATCAGTTCGGTCGATCAATTCTGCTGATCGAACACCGCGTCGCCCGGCGTCGCCCTGTCCAGGTCCACAGTTCGGACAACAGCATCGCTTCCATCAGAAGAATACCACGATGGGAGTGCCTCGGCGATCGGATCACGAAGCGGGAATCCTCGACTGGCCGGGCCTACATAGTATGTGCATGAACAGAACTATAATGCACTATATATTATATGCCGACTGACAATATAATCAATAATTAATTACTATTATATTTATTCCTATATAGTATTCCATATGATCTAATATCTGATATTAGATATTATGCTAGAATTTTCTTGACCAGCCATCGTCTCTTTTTGGATCCAGCTGCTCTTCTTCAAGTATACTGCACGCTCCATGCGCAAGGTGTTGTCGCCAGATGCGCGTACGTTTACGAAGTGCTCAAACAAGGCAGTGAATTTTGTGGAAATGTCGGGAGTGGGGCGAGGACCTTCAACTTGATGGATCATGAGGGATCCTAGTATGGGAAATGGAGTGCGCAATCCTGTGTGTTTCGCAATGCTTTGCATACTGTTTGCAGGAGTACAACTCCGATAATATAGGGAATCCGCAATTGAAAGGAGGCATGTTGAGCCCTGCGTCAGCGGATTGGAATATCCTGAAGCTAAAAAAGAGTTTGGTCGGAGTGCTTGTGTTGATCATATTGTTTCAACCCCCACGCATCTGCGAATTGACAGGGCCTTTTGCGGCTGCATGTGCGCAGTCACAGACCTCCTCTGGACCAAGCACTCCGTGTGCGCAGTTTCGTTGGATCTACAAGACATGTTTCGCACGCCGTGTTTTACGCTGTGTATACTCGGCATTCCAGCTGACCTGACCATTCGTGAGTCGCTTTTTTCCGGTGAACGGGTGGAGACCTTCCGGTCAGGGCCGACTGAGCATCGTTTGCGAGAACCGGGTGCACTTCAATGGCGTCGTTCGCTACGCGGTGGCCTGGTTGGACTGGAACCAGTCAGTCAGCACGGGGAAGAGAGTCGGGTTGGTGCATTGGTGGGGTTGGAACTGAGAATCATGGGCCTTGAGAGAATCACTATTTGAAAAAGGGTTTGCATTTTTTAACAGATGAACTGAGACAAGTCTTGCAGTTTGGAGGAGAAGACATGTTTGGACTCCGAAAACGCTATCTCTCTCTCTCTCTCGCGCGCGCTTGGCTGCGGGATTGAGCAGCCCCGCACATCGCAGCAGAGCATGGGATTTGCGAGGAATTCGTAGTTGAGTCGAGTCGAGAAGGTTCACACCCTGCCAAATTTTGAAAATCCTTCACATAGATTCAGACCGGGTGTTGTAAATTACTGATGGAGTGGATTTGGGCTGACCCACAACATCATAAAATACGAGGAGGGAAAGAATCTGAAAGCACCTTACGAATGTTTCCGGTCCGGATCTATACTTGCGTTACGGAGGTTCGTTGACGAATTCTTTGCTCTAACCATCGGCTCTCAGAGATAATAAGATATATACAATGATATACGGTATACGGATGTATGCGGTATAATATACATATTACTTTAGGTTATATTATGCTTTCATGTTCTTTCCATCTTTCCGAGTGTAGTGTCGCGCTGCTAGTTGGGAGTCGGAGCTTCGTTTCTACCGCAGTGCGCACCGCCTGCCTGATCAGGTGCAATTCACTGAGGGAGAGCTTTGCAGTGCTGATGGTGACGCTCGGTTCAAAAGCAAGATGTTAAGTCAAGGGCGCTAAAACGAAGCTGCGCACACAGGTGACATGTCGATGTCTTCATACCAACTGAGTTAATGACTCCGTTTGATAGAGGCTTAAAGAAATATGGAACTAAATACTGTATCCAACATGTTGGACAGTCGCAGCTGTCGAGCGAATTGGTCAAAGAGACAACTGGAATTGCTGAGATGGGGCCCCCACTGAATCTGACAATCGATGTCCAAAGTCTGTGACGGAATTCCTTCCGACAAGACCATCATGACCACTTCCGGCTGCTCCCCTGGTGGCTGGGCTGAGGTTGGCTTCATTCTCTCTTCCGACCTTCCATGCACCAAGAACATCCAGAAGATTGTGTCTGTGTTCGCCAACCGCACCGGCCGCATTTGCCGCTTGGTCAGTTATCAAAAGAAAATCTTCAGACCATAGCCGTGGGCATGCATGTTGCTAGCTGCTGCAATTCCACTGAAGACTAAAAGCTGTTGAACATTCATATGAACGACGTGCGGAAGAAGAACGACGTGCTCAAAAGTGCTCAGGTGTGCGAGTGCACGAGGATGTGAAGCGCTGCCAGCAGCGCGTGAAGTGCTTGGAGCTGGGAGATTGGCTTGAGGTGGGGAGACGATCATTGGCTTCCGGGAAGCATTGCTGTGGGCCAAACGCTGAAGGCTTGTTCTATTTCGGAGATGATTTGACCGTGCTGGCCTGACCAGTGAAGACTGTTGGTTTGTTGGTGGACAAGACTTAAGGATACTTAAGATTTGAAATGTAGAAGATGGGCGAGAATGGCATTTGCCGGTCCGTTTTTCCTGAGGAACATCCTCGAAACTCGCCTGTTTTGTGGCGAACAGATGCATGGCCGGAAAATGGCCTGAAGCACCACAGAATTCTTTTCTTCCATTGTGGTCAATTGGCAAAGGAGTTGATCGCCAGTGGTGCGGTCGGTCCTGAAATCAGCCACCAGGAGTAGCCACCGGATGGGCCGCGGCATCCCGTCTGGCGCTCCAGGTGATCAGTGACCTGGAGCAACAGAAGGTCACCTTCGTGGTGTGGCCACAGGAACGAATCACCGAAGGTTTGGGAACGGGGTCGGCTTGGACCACAACATGCGTGTGTTTTGGGGTATTCCTTCAGAAAGCAAAGGTCGTTTTCCTGCGAGGGTACTAGTAACAAGTGCATCGCTACTAGTAACAAGTGCCTTACTAGTAGTAACAAGAAGCTATTAGCTTATTGTTTCTAATAGCTTCTTGTTACTAGTAGTAAGGCACTTGTTACTAGAAGCGATGCACTTGTTACTAATAGCGAGGGTACTAGTTAGTATGGTGATTTGATGTGACTTTTGAGTTGCACATGGTGAGAAGCGGAAAAGAGCAGCGAGGCCAGCACCTTCCCACAGAACTCGTGAGCCAATTATATAACATGCAGTTTGGACTGCTGTAGTGCAGGCTCTTCAAAATAAACATCAACAAGTGATCAACATCCCATACAAGCAAAAGCAAAGCTCACACAATCTCATACAGCCCTTAAAAGTATGCGTTTCCATCATTCTCCAAAGGTTCCGTCAACTTCGATCTTCATTCCACTTGTTTGCATGAATGGAAAGGAGCGAAGCTCGCTCTCTTGTGAGGACAAGTCGGCTCCGACCAGTGCCACGATCTCTTTCGGGGATGTCTTGGCCAAAGCGGGGAGCCCTCGGGAAAAGATGTCTCGTGAGGCGCGGAAGCCGTGCGAAATGAACATGGAGATCCCACGATTCGGTACGGGGTTCTGTTCTTGCCCAGGGTCTTTACCTACAGGTGGATGCAGCATGAGCTGACCGTGCCCGGATGAGACCCAGCTCACAGATCTATTCCGGGAGGGCCCGTCATGCGTTCTCCAACGAGAACGGGGGGTGCTGACGGCTGAACATCAGTTGTGGGTCTTTCATTCTCAACACAGCAGGACCAGCTCAACTGATCTGACGCTAGGTCTCAGATCTTCTCATCGATCTCAAGTGCCAACCCGTGGCTCTCCCCTTTCGATCACATTCGATTCTCGCCCGGCGGTGCTGCGGTCGCCCAGGCACGTGGACGTTCCAGTGTGCCACGCTCCTCATGTGGTGCTACTCCTCAGTGGGAGGGTGAGAGGTCAGGTGAGTGTGAGGGTCATGGAAGTATGTAGTTGTGGTTGCAGAGCACATGGCGCACACACACACACACACATGCACCATCACGCACCCATACTGCAGTCTGGGGTTTGCAATGCCACCTCTGAAGTTTGGGGCTATGTACTCTCAAACCACCAGACCATGTCTCTGGATGGTCAAGATTTCTGGCGGTGTTGGCACAATCTGGCACATGCTTCCTGGAAGGCCAAAACCATTTTAAAATATCTTCAGGTGACTCGCAGAGGAATGGAACTTCAGTGACTTCAGTGGGGCAAAATAGGGTCGACATCCTTCGGAACCTTGGTGGTCGCCTGGGAACAGGCTCTCCCCCCTGTATATCCCAGATTCGAGGGAGTTTTCGAGTCTGGTTGCTGATTCATCCTGGTGTTGAGGGATGGTGCAACCAGGGAGGAGGTCCTGAGGATTCAGGATGTACCAACGCATTATCCCCAGGGCGGGGTTGTACAATAACACGGAAGTGAATGTGTGAGAGCGCGAAAGGAAAAGTGAGCGTGGAGTAGCACTCACTGGGAGACTTATGATGTATATATATATACACACATGTTTTCTTTTTTTGAAGGGGGGTAGGTCTCTGGAGGTAGTAGCTAGGTAGCTGGTAGAAGAGTTCAAGGAAGCGCTCGCACTAATGATTTGGTTTCTAGATGTTTTTGGAAACTTACCATTCTAAACACCAACCTACGAAACTCATGTAGCAGCTGTCCTGAACTCCACAACCCGTGTCTCTAATGGGGATTTGGTCGTTTTGCGGTTGGATTGTGAATGTGACGGGAACTCTGATATTTTTTGCTTTGTCATATATGCTTCACATACTGGCTGCCCATAGAGCTACTATGTACATGACCTACTTCAACCCACTTCACATCCGTCAACGCGGGCCCTTCTCACACCGAGCCTGAGGCTATTTGGCAGTGGTGATGAAGCACTTGGGTGTGTCCGTGAACCTCGCTTCATAAGGTGCGGTCCGTCGTCCGGTCCAGCGGCCTCGGTGGACGCCGCCTCGGTTTTTCCCTCGTGACGCACCGGCGGTTGGGCGCTCGTTGACTCAGGGTGCACCGGGTGGACCAATGAAGCAAGTTCGACCCTGGCATCCCTGGCGCACCTTCTTTGGGGCTTCAACCAGGTGCTCCATGGTACTGGTACTCCGAAAATAATGTACCCCTACGTTTTTGACATCTATGTGAGGAAGTACATGTTGTATGCTGACATAGAATACGTGTATATATATATAAATACATATATTATATTATGCCATTATATGCCTACACCCTTCTACTTTCTGGTACAACATGTGTCAGCACAGCTCGTGTGAATGAGGAACTGCCAAGTGAACACTTGATATATTAGGTGCCTCAAATTGGAATCCTAAAATAACCGTCCTTGGATGTCATTGGAAACGACGTTGCTTCACATCCATAGGGGCAAGATTTGAATCTTTGTGCATGGTGGTGTTGTTTCACATGCGCGAGGTTTGGGGCCACCAGCTTGTAGGAGTACTTGCTTCCTGCGCTTCTTCCTGTAGGTCATCACTCGAACCAACAGCTGATCTCGCCCAGTCCCGAACCCCCCGTCGTCCCTCCGAAGAAAACGCCACAGCTGCGAGGCGACGGCACATCCGAAGCTGCCACAGCTCGCTGCGACACCGACTGGGCCGTTTCGGCGAAGGATTTTCATGCCGACTTGGCCGTTCCAGTTGAAACATGTGAAAAGCACCCAGAACCAACTTGCATGCAAGGTTCCAGAACCCCATGTTCATCCCTATCCTCTTGTGTAATCCAGACTTTGGGGATATTTGCACGATTTTGCACTTTGGCGATTCAGTGTCAGTGAAAGCAACCTGTCAGGGACGTCCCAGACAGCTCTTTTTTCAAAAAACGTCTTTAAAACGACGCTTCATGTCTACGCCTGTACGCAAGCCGGTGTGACAGCTAGATTGGCATGCGGCATAATGAAGTGCCGAAGTCTGATTTTCCTAAATGATCCTCCGATGCCTGGTATTTTTCGACCTGAGTAATACTGTAGGTTTACCGACATTTGAACTCGCCGTTCACGTTGCAGACGTGGCATAGAGAACGGCGATGAAGTTCTCCTACAGAATCGATGCTAAGACTGCCGAGCTCTCACCTCACGAGCACCACCGAACTCTGCTTGAGCCACTTGAGAGCTTGGCAAATGTAAAACCTCTTGTCTTCCGTAAACTTTTCTTCGGGTCGCTGCGTTACCCTGGAAATGTTTCGCACATATAAAGCATGGCTTGCATATGCCGCTGGTGAGACTTTATGCTCTTACCGACGGCAGATGGATGGTGGTCATGGCCGCATGAGCACAACCGGTGCCAGTTTCTCGTGAGATTTGGATATACAGTACAGATGTAATTACACACACAAATCCAAATATATATATATATGCACATATGTTTCTCCAACAGTCGCTATTCATACAAGACATGTTCATGCTAAGAGTTCTCTTTTCTGAGCCATTGAACCACCATCGGAACTTGTGACAACGGGCTCAGCTCGCTACAGGAAGGACTGAGGTCTCACAGGCTGAATGCGATCCATGTTTTGCACGACTGGTCGCGGAAGGGGACCTGGTTCAAGTTCATGGCACCCCGTAACTGTACAAATTTATAGTGAAACCATGTGAAACCGCCCAAGCGGGAAGTCTAACCATCGAGGTGCTGACATGCAGTCTCTTGCAGGGCCTGATTTCATGCAAAGACCAACGAGCCTGGAGCACAACTTTGATTTCATGGGCCTTTGATTTATGCTTTCCTTCAATCTTCTTGTGACTTATGATTCGATGGTTTCCCAACAGGTCTTTGTTTGCTGCATTCCTTCAACAGCTTGACAGTGCCTTTTGCACAAGTCAGTCGAGAGTCTACAACGTCGCCTTTGCTGTTGGAAAGGAAGGCAATCGCTGGCTCATTTTCTGGCTGTGATCTTCCGTAGGTGGGGATTGCATCCTGAATCCGTTCTTTTTTTGTGGCTGACTGGGCACTTCATGGAGAGTTCAGACTGAGAAACACGTCAGGTGGGAAGGTCCGAGTTCAGGTGGGAAGGTCCGAGGCGCTGGTTGAAATTCACGTGGACTGGTCCGAGGCGTTGGGTTTCAACGTGGCCATCTGACAGCTTTGTGATGACCCGATAAGAACATCTGTCCGAGTCTGTCTAGCCTTCAACAGGGGGGCCAAAACGAGGGGCCGATCTCTGGCGCCGATGACACAGCCGATGAGCCACACAGTCGCAGTGAACACCCGATATCCGGAAGAACTCCATGTCGCTCTCCATGTCCACGGCGAGTGGCCGACACGGCGAAGCAGCTGTTGCTTGTCTCTAGAGTGTGCGGCAGAATTCTTTGAGAGCCGGCCGCCAGTTTTCACGACCCCGAAGGAAGAGGTTTACCAGATTTTACCAGGCTTGTCATCGAAGGGAAAGGGGCTACCTGAAACAATGGAAAGAGAGGAACGAAGGAGTTGCTTTGGAGATTCTTTCTCCTTGTGTTTCCAAGGCAGTCAAAAGACCTATACGTATTGCTTTCGTCCCGTTCAAATCTGTCAAGTTCCTTTTTTGCACAGACTGCTCATGGGGTCGGTGGGAACTGCTGCGGCTGGCATTGGACAGATCCAATTGACATGCGGTTGCAGGCCCATCGAAAGGTCCTTCCGTGCATTTTTTCCTGGATCAAGATGCGGAAAGCAAGGAGCCCTTCAACTGAGGCAGAATCATGGAGCACCGACCTATGAAGGATCTGTCAAGATCTATCTATCTAAACCTACGATAGTGATCCGGAATTTGGACAAAAAGAGAGAGAGAGAGAGATAACACATGCCTTGAAGACGGCTCCTTTGCAGCGGTAGCTTGACTCCAGACTTGCCGAACTGTTTGAGGACATCTGCAGCTGTGTTGACCAAAAGGTGCACGAAGAGACATTGGTTTGTCTTCGTGGCATACCACGTGGGCAAACAACTGAGCGATTCTCTGACGTGAATGAGGCTATTTGAGACAAGACAGTTGTGCAATTCCAATGTTCTCTAGAACGATAGGACATCCCACAGAATACACCGACATTTACCAGGGGGTGTTCCTTGAAATGCCGTGCGGACCCGACACATTTCACCATACGGCGTAGCGTGATGGCCACACGGTTTGCGGAGGCCTTGGCGGTGGTTCGCAGTATGGCATTGCAGAATGGCCAGCTGCAGGTGACTGAAGGGTGGCCGTTCATCCAGAATTTAGACACAAGCGGCATGACATCAGCACTGAGGAACGATCAGCACTAAGGTGCTGGATTTTGCTAGATGCCCCTGTGCTGTAGACAAGTCCGTATGAATCTTCCCACTCGGAAGACCTGTGATGCGAGGGAGGTGTTGGGTTTCGATTGGTTTCGATGGGCCTTCTTAAAGGCAGGGGTCGGTCTTGGTTGGTGTTGTGACAGTTTGTTGTGTGCCACAATGTGGACGATCCCATTGTCCTTGGGTGAAGCACAGTGAAATGCGCAGCGTTGGGCGGTTGGGCGAGGCCGTGGCGCATCTCGAAGCATGGGGCCACGGCCGTGCGCGGCGTCACTGGCTGCGAGAAGTACGACGAAGTACGGGTGAGCATGAAAACAGAGAGGCATAGTTGTGCTGTTGCTCAAGGGTGTGTACGAATGTCATTGGTGCATTTATACTTTCATGGTTGTCACTTGTAGACATAAACATGTGGAGAGAAGCTTGCTAGCTTCAGGTCTATCTGGATCCTTTTTAATATGATTGAATTGATTGATGTTGATTGATTTGGCCTCCAACTCAAACCAGTACTCTTTGTACAGCAACCCTGACACGTTGCATAGATTGTCGGATGCGCGATGTTTGTCAATTAATGATATACTTGGTGGATATGAGGGTGATCCATGAACTCAACCTATTGGATCTCCAACAGACAACAGGACCTTTTACTGATTTCACTGTTTCTTGCCTGCTCAAACAAGATAATTAGAAGATCTTGGTGACCAAGGCAATGATCAAACAGTAACGTTCAGCTTCAACCATTCGCCCTTTGCCACGTCCCAGGTGTCTGCGGCCACCACCACCCTCGGGGGTCCCGAGGTGCTCGGGTTGGAGACACGACGCGGTATGGCCGTCGACGGCCCAGGAGGAGTGGGAGGATTGGGAGGAGAAGGAGAAACTAGACCAGGCGGTTTCCATGACCAAGGTGTTTCTTAGTGTTTCTGAGTTGCACTCTTGGGCACGAAGATGGAGATGATGAAGAAGGTGAAATGTCAGGAAGTTTGTATCTGGTGCTCCAGATGCCAGCTTATTCAGCCGTCCTAGGGCATAGGAATATATTCAATATTCATCGTAGTATATTGCCTATGGCTGCCACCCCACAGCAACTGCCAAGCAAGGATCAATTTAAATCACAATTAGATACAGAGGGACCAGAGGGATCACAGTATTTGGTCTATTCAGCATTTGGTCATGTTTGGTCTATTTGCAGGGCAGAAGTTTGAACCATGGCTGAGACTAACGAAATGTTCGCGTAATGTAGACTCTTGATTAATACACCCACCCCATTGAATTGAAAGTCCTCTTCAAAGGGGAGGTCTATTAATCAAGAGTCTACATTAATGTGTAAAAGCCAGGAACAATATCAACACATCTCTTTTTTTGACCCATTTCGGAGACATCTCGGATGCCAGATGCCGACCACGCGCACTCGGCTTGTCCCGGCGCAAGAGCGGGACTGGGGGAGGATGGGGGGTCATGGGGGTTTCTCGTCAGGGTGACTGTTGCCCCTAAAAGGACCAGCAAAAATGGCTGAACCATGGACATTTCTGGTACACCTGTGGCGAATTGTCCGCCAAGAATTTGCTTAATATTTGGCTGGTATAAATAGCTGCAAACCGATTGGACGTAAAGCTTCAACCCAGCCAATCGGTCCATAATCCACTTGAAGTCACTTGCACAACAGGGAATAGTGAGATCAGCATACATTGCCCTTGTCATCTTTGTCCATCAAGCCAGGTGGGTGTGACCCCAATTCCCCAAGATCAATTTCCAAAAACAAACCCACCATGCATCTGCACTTGATTTGGCGTGTATTCGCCATGTCTACACTCTGCGTAATAATCAATAATCATGGAAGTGGATGGCACCACCCGTTTGGTCTTCGGAACATGGTCCTCCGTTCTGAATTAGCCGTGCTATCCACGTAACCATGATTCTTCCAGGGAGTGTATCCCTGCCCTTTTCGAATTGGATCCTCATTCCATGTGGGACTCAGACGAACGGAGCACGAAGCTACGAACGGAAGCCAAGCGGGGCATCGCTATACCACAGAGCGGGAGACGCATCAACAAAAAATCAAAATGCATCAATTAAAACAAAAATGCATCAAGACACAAAAATGCATTTTAAAAAAATAGAAAAGAAACAAAGCCAGGAAGGAAGGAAGGAAGGAAGGAAGGAAGGCAGGTTCGCTTTCGGTGGCTCTGGGCTTTTGGTGGCTTTTAGCTTTTGGTGGCTTTGGCTTTCGGTTGCTTTTTTGGCTTTTCGTGGTTTTGGTTGGCTTCTGTGCTGCCTGTAGGTGGCCAGCTTGCGGAACTGTGCTGCCTGCAGTGGCAATTGTTGTCATGTATTCGGTATTCTTACTTAGTCCGTTATTCTTTTGATGCATCATCCGAAAAAACACAGCACAACAAGGACCACTTTTGGTTGCAGTATTCAAGGCTGAACTAGACTGTGTGCGAGAGAGAGAGAGAGAGAGATAGATAGATAGATAGATAGATAGATTGAAATGAGAATGCTGAAGGCTTCTGGAAAGCAAAGAGTAGTAACTATGACAACTGTGATATAGCGAGGGGCTAAGCTCAGAACCCCATCCAGGTCCTGGGTCCAAAACGCTTTTGTGCTCCCGAGGTCCGAGGTCAGGTAACAGAGAAAGCTTGCAGTATTCAGGGCTGAAGTAGTACGTAGACTGCGTCATATACACATATATAAGAGTTTTTGTATTTACATATAGGTTGATTTACTGTTTGTGTGTGTTTTTTTAAATGCGTTTTTGTTTTTATTTTGATCACTGCTTCGAGTTGGAATCTTGCGCTCTCCTCGGCGCCTTTGAGTCCCCCACAGCGAGGACGGACGCGGAACCGTCCGAAGGGGGGGTGTTTGAGGAGACCGAGAGCTCGGACGGCTGGGTGGACGTGCTCTTCCGATCCGAGTGAGGGCCCGAGGTTCGTCCAGACTCTGGGAGTTTTGGTCGATTTTTCGACGAAGGGAGGACATTTGTTCAGAAAAGGACCAGCATGCATGATTTCCTGATGTCCGACTTAGATCTCAGAAATTCCTGAGGTGACAAACTTTCATGAACTGTGAGAGACGGATGCCATGAGGTTTAGCACGATCATCGTGGGCGGCAGCTACATTTGCTTTCTAGGCCGATCAGGGTGCCTGCAGGAGCTGATCTTAGCCAACCTAACCCCAAGCAATCTGACCACCCGACTAAGACTCAGACTAGGCCTGATCTAGGCCGATCAGTCTGATTCCTTCTCAAAGACTCTGATCGGAACGGGCAGAGGTTTGTCACGCGCTGGGCCCCACCACGGCCTCGCCCGCTTCGCCCGCCTCGCCCGCTTGGCCGGCCAATGGCCGTTTGTGACAGAGGTGTTCGCTGACGGCCGAGAACGACCAAATTCGATCGTCGGATGATGCTTCTTTTTATTTTTATGCATGGATGATTCATTGTTGGGATGCAGAAAAATAGATGTCTCACTCAAAGAGCTGATGGCATTTGTGGATGAGCCATGTTCGATTTCGTCACATAGTCATAGCAGGCCAATCTATGCCTTTTGTGTGCCATTTGATGCCTGATCTCCACCCTAATTAGGTCTCACTGATCTCTATATAGATACAGTCCTTTTCATGGCTGGGACATGTACTATGGGCCCCATTCCCTGCCAACTTCCCTGCCAACCCGACCACGCCGGCCTCCGCAGCCAACTTCCTGTTCTTCGGCATCACCTATGCCATGCCACAGGTCTTCAGGCGCCTCTTGACGTCACCTGGACATTCTGGTGATCCTTTTCATAGGAGGTTGTGTACACACTGAGGTTTTTTGAGGGGATGCAGGGTATTGTCTCAATGCTGTCTCAACGTACTAAGAGAAGATGTGCAGAGTACTTCTTGTGAATCAAATATTCCATTGACGAAGCCAAATTGATTGGTAGGACTGTAGTAGTTTTGGTGGGTGGAATTCTTCTTTTCCTCCCAACTGGACAAGGTGAAGGGACTGAGGACTGCAAACCGGAGTTGCATATGGTCCTTTTGAGACTAGAACATCTCCAATGCCTCAGTCCCTCCCGGTCCAGCTCCCTCTGAGCCTCCTAGCCGCACTGGCCCAGCCACAGGGTGGTGCAGTCACCATTTCATCCAGCCACCCAAGTCTTGGTCGGGGTGCCCTGCCTTGCGGAAAGCCGCTCCGCGGAACGCCGTCTCCGTTTCAAGGGGCTCTGACAGTTGTTTGAGCTCACGCCCCCCCTAACGGCCCCGGAGAATTTCCACGTTTTCACCATTAACCAAGTTGATACTACGCTGGGGATGGGGTGGGGTGGGGATGGGGTGGGGTCTGTTAACGTTCGCTTGCACTTGCAAACCAAGTTGAT